ACACGGCGCCAGATCCCAAAAGACGACTTTCTTCATAGTCATCGTCGTGAAAATCTCAAAACTTACATATTCTGTAAGAGTTTGACGTCTTACATTTCCTGCTTCTTGAATTACGAGTATTATGGACAAAACTGTGTCTGATTCATAAACGGCCCTGGGAGAAAGGAAGCTATAAGTAACAGGAAGAATGAACATTGTGCATGACTCCTTTTACCTGAACGTTCTTGGAGCGTCTTTGCCAACAATTTATCAATTATGTGACTGTGTGGAAACAACTCCATATAAATTGGCGGTTCACCAAGAAGCGTCTTAACCTTCGAAATCATTACAAATGGTCAAAAAACAGTTTTTTTTTCAAAATACAAACTAATTATATAGCAGTCTTAAATTGTTTACTTGTGACTTTTGTGAAAGTAGGATATAATTATGTAAGAGAGATGAAAATGCATGCAGAAATTTTAGTACGAAAACCCGAAACAGGAAGGACAATATTAAGAAGGAACTAAAATATATGACCTATATTGTGGACTGAATTTTGATGAGTAAGAAATAGGTCCGATGACGGATTCTATTAAAAACAATTAATCAGCTTTCATGTTCCATAAATGGAACTGTTTTTGTTGATTATCTAACAAATATCGGCTTTTGAAGTCGGACTCAGCTCCACAGAGTTTACTAATTTGTTAGTTGATTACTTGGGCGGTTGGTTAATTCTGAATGCTCGGTATTTCTATTACGAATTAATTTAAAATGTTGACGTAAGAAGCGTGGCCAATTATTACTTTTGTATAATGGAAACAGAAGGACAGAATTATATGGAGAAACAATTTTCATGGCAGGAATATCGTATCAAATGTTTATATGGATTTAAATCGTAAATTACTTTTAATATTTCTGTATATCCTGTATTAATAACACTGACATGTGCCAAATCTCTCAATGAGAGATTGTTTTCGATTTTATGCCGGCTTTACAGTGATATTAACAAATTCATCTGAGTATGGGAAACAAATAATATTATCGTATGGAATTAATCTTTGTCCATAACATTCCAATTCTATGTGTCTCTACAGCAGTATTAATTGAATATTATAAGCGGCAAAGCTATCCTTGTGACAGGCCGTGGAGGTCCATATGGTAGTGAGACGGCGAGGCTCCCACATTTTCTACAGAATCGGTTCACAGATAGCGGTGAGGTTGCCAGCCTTAGTGACGGCCGCCCTTTACCCTCAGGAAGCAATAAAAATTATGATAAGCTAATGAAATTTCCATGTGGATAGCAGTCAATATTTGCATAGAATAACAGTGAAACTTACCAGTAGTTCAGAGAAGTAATTATAAAATTAGAAACACTATTACTCATTGCGGGTCGGAAGTTTTTCCTTCATTTAGCTGAATTGCCATGACTCCAACCTATGAGAACTTCCATTAGTGTCTACATTACACAGATGATGAGCTGACAGTGTATATTTTAGCTCACAAGGCACTAACCTTCCCTCTAAGCCTGGGACGCTAGTGCGCAAGTCATTTTATCTTCTGAGCAACAATTGGGTCGGCTTTGGCAACACAAAAGGGAAGGACGGGCAGCGATTTTCGAAAAAGATCCATAACAGACAGTAAATTTATAAGTTGCCAAAAACAACAAGAAATTATTTCTCTCAATTTTGTTTTTATTAATTCAGAATGACCGTATACTAAACCAATACAAATGCACGGGAGACCGAGAGTCGTGTGCGGCAATGCGACAGACGCTGCGCGCGCAGCTTAGAGGGAACATTGCAGGGGACAAGTTAAGATCACCATTTCACTGAATATATACGATATGAACACGAAATGTTCTGGAAATACGGCTTCATAAAATAATCGTAGGTTTAATTAAAATATTATAGGTGTACTTTTCTTGGTGTGCATGCGATGGTGTAGTTGGTTGAGGCACTATGCTACAAGCCGGAAGGTCGCGGGTTCGAGTACCGATGAGGTGAAATTGTTTTTTCAATTGACCTAATCCTTCCAGCCACACTATGGCCCTGGGGTTCACTCAGCCTCTAACAGAAATGAGTACCAGGAATATTCTTAGGGGTAAAGCGCGGCCGGCACGTAAGGCTGACAATCTTACCGCCATCTATGAGCTGATTGTCTAGAAAATGTGGGAACCCCGACGTCTCACGACCCTATGGGTCTTCACAGTCTGTTACAGGGATAACTTTACTTACTTTCCTTGGTAACACTCTAAACTGTAAAGGCTAGCAACAAAGCTCCAACACCAAATGAGAACCTGTCATTTATTGCTACATCGTCTGGTTCTGTTCTTAGAGACAAACCTGCAAATGTTACATTGAAGAATACGTTACTCAGAATAATTATACGGAGACTTTTTTTTCAGACGATGTTTTTAGTGAGGCTAGTACGATCGAGCTTAATAAAATCTGTTCACGAAATTTAGGCGAGCTAGGAATACAAGGAACACATTTAGTAACGTTAAATTATTATGACAATCTTCAGGACTTCTGTGCTCTGATTTCTAATTGCATGACAGGAGAATTATGAAAGAGGATTTGGGCGCATGCGTGGGCAGTAGAATGAACTTGCTTTCAGTTTCTAACGTATCAAATTGTGTGACAAGGAAGTGCATAAAAATTATTCCTCTGAAATTTCCAGACATTCTGTTACGCGACTTCAAGGCTAAACATACAGTTAATGCATGAAGCGATCTTTTATTATGATTTATTAACGGTTACAAATCTACTATGTGTCAATAACATGTCGAGCAATAGTACCTTTAGCCTTTGTGTTTTATAAAATAACAACGCAGAAGCTCAATAAAATTAAACGAAGAGTACCTGTTTACTCGCCGTTGCTAAGCAATGATACTTGCATTTTCACTGTAAAGTTTGCTTGAATGTGGGCACTTCCCACATAACTAATTAAGCCCTAGGTCATGAAGGCGTATGGGCGAGTGGATATACAGAGTCACATTTCCGTGATCTCGGCACTAGTTGGAGGTGAGTGGGTAGCTCCACGTCCCGGCCGCTTTATCTCCAGGGAGAGAGCCTCCGGTACGAGTTGGACAGGAGGCTGGGCGGGCCCCAGATCCGGTCTGAACGACATGAAGAGGAGAACATTCTTCGCCTTAGCGGGACTCGAACTCCGAGTCCTCGGTCGTCCAGCCTGTAGCCAGTCGCGTCGTTAAGTAAATAACAATTATGTAAATTTGGGTGCAATTATTAACCAACTTCAATGGTCATGGTCTTCGAGTAGGACAGGATCCTATTATCATTTAAGAACGAGAGTAGTAAGCTACCTTTCCGAATAATGTTACATTGCCCAAATAGAGTCTTTTTTTCTTTCCTTGGCACTACAGCCCCAGTGGACCTAGGCCTACCTCCATGAACTTCTCTGTTCACTTCGGTTTTTCTAGATCTTACACATTCGGTAGGACTCCTTAGGCGGGTGATCAGCTCGTCGCAAAGCCTCTGCCTGTACACAAACACAGAAAAACGCACACACACAAACTAAACATCCATGCCCTGAGTGGGATTCGAACCCACGATCCCGGCTTCCGAGCGAGCGAAGACAGTGCATGCCTTAGACCGCTCGGCTACCGTGACCGATAAATAGAGTCTTATGAACATAATATTTATTGGATAGTATGTATTTTAAGTAGAAAAATCCAGAAGACCTTGTCCTTCGCTTGAATTATGTGATATACCTTCTGCTGTCAACGGACATCATACGAGGTCTGACTAGAAAGTTACAGGGATGACAGTTGCGGAGCGCTGTTGTTGCATCAGTCTTCAAACGTAAATTTCTCATGAAAGTGGTCAGATTATTAAATGTGCCTAATTTCAGTTTGTGGTTCGACAGTTGACTGCTCTAATCCGACCTGCTAATTTCTTATTTTACATCATGGACCGGACTTCTGTGTTCATCTGGATCGGATTGTTATTTTCGATTGCGGGAACTCTATTAAGTTTCAGCTGGAATAGTATTTTCGACCTCATCGCCAAGAAGGTAAGTAAAGTAGAAATATTGTAATTTCAGATACGTGATGAAGTGTAGAGATGCTGTGCTTGTATGCCCAGTAAGCATACAAATTTCGCCATTATGTTGTTTATAAGAACCGAGATTTTCTTCTCGGAATTATAATACTGATGAAACCAAATTTCTGAATCAAAAATCAATAAATTTTTCCTTTTGTGGAGAATTAAAGTAATAAGAGATTTTGGTAAAAGAGGGGCCATCTTGGGGCCCAAAAACACATATAAACTTCTAAAATCCATTTGCTCTACAAACCACAATACTTCATACTTTCTATACGAAACATAATGGAAGAAAATATCTTTAAGTGACTGGTCTTTACACTTAAAATGTAATCACCTATTTTAGGCTTGAAAGAGTTAAATGGTTTATTTTATTCTCCAATAAATTATTTGGAACATAACAAATATATTGTAATATAGTAAAATACAAATATTATTTGATATTACATAACGCATTTCTTTAAATTGTTTCATTTTGGTCCGTTACACTACTATACATAAAATCAATACAAAGTCCGTCGAGTGTAACAATGTTTTTTAGGTCACTTCTTTCTCACTCTTGCCTTACATGTTTCGGTTTTAGTAAAACCATCTTCAGAGGCACATGGTACTAACAAGAAACCACTGGCGTTGTTTAACTGTACACAGTATATATGCTGTGTGGGCACTGCTACAAATGTCGATGTGTAAAAGCACAACACTAGCTCGGAGTACTGAATGCACGTACACAACACACAACGCACAGCAATAATCCAACTGCAAGCCAATACAACCTCAAGGCATCTCCCAACATCGGGACAAATTAAGAAGCAGCCTAACATTTTTATATTTTACTTTAAAAGTTTTAAACTTTTAAATATTTTTTAAATATTTTAATAGTGATGTTTTAACGCGAGGGCAACTTCGGATGGAATGCGAAGGTTGAACGTGCATTCTGTACGTGCATTCAGTACTCCAAGCTAGTGTTGTGCTTTTACACATCGACGTTTGTAGCAGTGCCCACACAGCATATATACTGTGTACAGTTAAACAACGCCAGTGGTTTCTTGTTAGTACCATGTGCCTCTGAAGATGGTTTTACTAAAACCGAAACATGTAAGGCAAAAGTGAGAAAGAAGTGACCTAAAAAACATTGTTACACTCGACGGACTTTGTATTGATTTTACATAACGCATTTTCTACACTGAAAATGGAAACAGCAATTTCGTCCAAAACGTTAGTACATATCTACAAGACTATACGGCGTTAAGTCCCAGGATACCACAATCTTCAGTTACAAGTAGGATAAATGAAATTTTGTGAAGGGATATGTTTCTGTAGGAAAGCAGAGAATTGTTGCTTCCTGAAGGAGGTTTATACTGGCGTTCTGTTTTTCTATAGTTTCTTTGATGGCCCAGGCAGGATGAGAACGTATTGAGCTGAAAGTTGAGTTAATATTATAAAGACATGATTAATATAAATTATCCACTTTTTATAAATGTAACATCTCCTTTAGATGTGTTCGGGTAAACCACTTTGCATGACTATGATATTTCTTGTAAGACAGGGAGTTTTCTTTAAGTGTTTAGGCCCCTGAATAAACAATCCCTAATCTCATAATTCCAGAATAATTGATCCTTCTTTATGTTTCGTTATGTGCCTTCTTCATATAATTTCATTTTTCGTAGCCGTAGAAAATTGTGGCTATATCATTTAACAGAATTATCTTGATTATTTTAAAGTTCATAACATGCAGCACATTGATACATGACTCCATATTTATACTGAAATTTGAAATTAAACAAATGTTTACAACTAATATTCCTAGTAAAATTTCAGTGGGCCTTCAATTCTAAACATAACGGTGAGTACAAAAAAGAGCAAAATCTCACTGGGTTCTCAATATGAACGCTTTGTTATGTTCAGAGAAAACCATTTTTTTAATTCACATAGTGGAGGGTGGAGTCCAGTTGAGTCCACTCGGCACATCGGCCACTGATTGGCCTATTGTACAGTACATACCCCTGGTGATTATAATGATGGAGAATTTGGTGGAATAAAGATTGGCAGGGGAATCCGAAGTACTCGGAGAAAACCTACCCCAGCGCCACTTTGTTCATCACAAATCCCACTTGACCAGACACGGGCTCGAACCCGGCCGCCGCGGTGGGAAGCCAGCTACTAACCGCTTGAACTATGGCGCGGGATTCAGACAAACCCATAATTTCATTGCATTCCTATTTGAAGCACATTGTTATGTGCAAAGACACACTATGTCCAGAAATATTTCCATCGTTTTCTTCTTTTTGGGAGGTAATTTGGTATTCTAATCCATTTGCAACTCTCTTACAACTGTAACTGCAAAATGCGGGGGGAAAAAAACATTCCTCTCTGATCAACGTTTACCCTGAATTCTTGTTCCCTCTACCGACACGTCTGTTCGAAAGATGTCTGCTTTGTTTCAGGAGTTACCGATCTCTCCTACATCCAAAACCTACCCCTTGTGGAAAAAATCAACAGTCACCATGAATTTCTACTTGTTCAACTGGACAAACCATGATCAACTGTTCGAAAATAATTATACGCCTGAGTTTGTCGAGTTGGGCCCGTACTCATACACGTAAAGTATCTAAGAGCAATTTTCTTTCACTTACAATAAGATTTATATAAACTGTGATATATTTAATGTTCGTTCCCTGATCTTTAATATATTATATATATTTTAATTTAATATTAATTTAATTAATTTAATATATTATATCATTTTATTGCAAGTCAATTACATTTGAATGTGTTAGATTATGTTATTTCGCCAGCACGCTAGGTATAACATAAGAGTTTAGATCATTATAATACGTTGTTATATTTTCAGCTCAACTGAAAAACATGTCTAAATAATACTTAGTTTATTACCTGGACTCAAATTGGGAGACAGTATGTTATCTGACGCATAATTTCTCTACCTTTCCACGAGTTACGACCGCCTCTGTGGTCTATTGTTCAGAGTTCCTGGCTACAAATACATAGGTCCGGGTTCGATTCCCGGCGCTACCAGATTTTCTGAGAAGTAGTGGTTCTGGAACGGGGTCCGCTCAGCCTCGTGAGGACAATTAAGGAGCTATTTCAAGGAAATAGTGGCTCCGGTCTAGAAAACCGAAATTAACTTCCATGGGGATCCGTTGCGCTGACCAGGCGACACTCTCTATCCGCTAAAGTTGGCACTAGCTTCGCCGACAAGCGGCCGTCACTCGGTCGGTATAGTTCGCTTGCAGACTAAAACCACGGAGTTCCCCCCCATGAGTATTCCCGACTAGAATCTTGTATGCACTTCTCGCTTCCCTAGTTGTATTACCTGTCTAGATGTACGCAAAACTGTACTGACGTTTTCTTTTAGGGAGGTTTATGAGAAAGTGAACCTGACGTGGAACGCAAATCACACCGTGACGTACCAAAGGATCAGAAAGTGGTATTTTGACGCAGAAAATTCAAACGGAAGTCTAGACGACACCGTCGTAATGCTGAATATTGTTCCTGTGGTACGTGTACCCAAACTAAAGATCAATTTATTATTAACATTAAATAGAGAATGATGGATGAGGTTTTAGTTAGAGAAATCGGACGCGAGGTTAAATTGATGGAATACGAAACAAAAAAACACTGACAAAATCTGCCTGATCACAATTGGTAATAACTTCTCCTACTTAAGAAATCAAAACAGGAGTTCAAAAAGTAACAAGTACAATATAATACCAAAATTATGTTTCTAGACATTAACCACCGTCCTGTTTATATTTCAGAACACAGGGTTTGAGGGGACTGGGTTCTGTCACCGTCTCCGGTCAGGAGATAGGGACTATTGCTAGTGGGGTGGGACTAAGTCTCTTGTACTGCGGCCATTTCTGGCTTATCGTACCAGCCCCAGATGACAGGTGAGGGTGATTCTGGAGCAACTGGCGGAATGAAGATTGGCAGGGGAAACCGAAGTACTCGGAGAAAACCTGCCCCAGCGCCACTTTGTCCACCACAAATCCTGCTTGACCAGACCCAGGATCGAACCCGGGCCGCCGCGGTGGGAAGCCAGCGACTAACCGCTTGAGCTATGGCGCGGCCCGAGATAGAGACTAGCTCTATCGATTGCGGCCCAACTGAGTATGCTTTACTTGAAGACGGAAACAGAATCTAGCCTCTGTTATATAACGACGCTGCCAGGATCGAGACTCGTATTTCGTCGGATAATAAAAGGTAAAAGAAAGGTAAAGCTGCTGCTGCGCTTAACTAATGAAGCACTACGCCATGAAGGCGTATGGGGACGTGAATGTATAGACCCACATTTTCTTGACCTCGGCACTAGTTGGATTGAATGGTCAGCTTCACGTCCAGGCCGCTTGATCTCCTGTAGCCAGTCGCTATACCGACTACGCTATCCTTGCTTCCATATTGTTAGATGATAGGATTATTAATGAATGTGGACTGAGCTAGAAAAAAATTGTGGATGGAAACTGAATAACCGTGAGCAAACTTACACCAGTGCCACTTTATTTGCCATAAATCCCGCGTGATTTTATCTATGAAGTGACCGGGGACTCTTCTCTGGTCACTGCGATTGTCATGTACGTAAACTCTCTTATGGTTCATGTTTATTAACATCACATTCTTTTGTTTCAGTCCAGCAGTTTTTTCACCAGAAACTGGAGCTTTATATCAATTTACGCCCTGTCCGCTGCCATGAGAATGCTAGGTGAATCGATATGGGTTCGAAGGACGGTCCGAGAAATCCTTTTCGACGGCTATGATGACCCCTTGCTGAAGATCGCGCAGACAGCGCCCTCACTCTTCGGCACGGATGTCCAAGGTGACAAAGTCGCATGGTTCTTTAACAGAAACGGATCAGCCCGTTCCGACGGCGTCTTGAACGCGGAGACTGCTTCTGAAGATATGAAGAACTTGGGGATTATTCGTAGTTGGAATTATAAAGATAAATCTGACTTTTTCGACGGTGAATGCAGTAAAGTTGCTGGTTCTGTAGGGGATATATTTCCTCCGGTACAGATGAAGGAAGATCAGCTGGAAATGTTTGTTCCGGATTTCTGCAGGTCACTTAAGCTTGACTACTCGGAGGAGGTAGAAGTTAGGGGCATACCTGCTTACAGGTACGAAGCCAGTCAGGCTCTAATAGACAATGGTACTGTGGACTCTACAAACCATTGCAACTGCCGTGGTGAATGTCTTCCTTTGGGCGTCTTCAACATTTCTGCATGTCGCTATGGAATTCCGGCTTTCATATCTTATCCTCACTTCTACAAAGCGGATAAACATTATTTGAGACAACTGAAAGGATTGGAACCTGTCCCAAAACGTCATCGCTTCTATATCACTTTGGAACCGGTGAGTGCGCTGTGGAAACTGACCAACTGGATTGACATAAGATCTCGGTGTTCTGAATTGGCTGTTATCAATGACCTAACTTTGTGAGATTTATCCCTAATCTTAAACATTTTTTTTCCCTTTGGCGCTACAGCCCAAAATTGAACCTTTGACTCTTGATTGGTTTATTTGTCTACCATAAGTTATCCCGAAAAGTAAAGTTTATTTCCAGATTGCATGTCGCTATCGCCCGGAAAACTATACACTTCATAGTCACCAGCGTGAGGACCTGAAGCCCTGGAAATTAGCTAATTCTTTATTTTATTGCTTTTTTATTAGTGCAGTCCGTATTTCCAGTTTGTCATCAGTTACTGATAACATGAGTTCACTGAATGTTGCAGAGGACAGGAATTCTATTGGACCTGAAGGCGCGGGTACAGATTAATTTCTTATTACAACGTAACACACGTATCAAGTAAGTACAATTATTGTTTATTCATTTACTTACTATTTTTATTGCTAGTGGGGTGGGACTAAGTCCCTTGTACTGCGGCCACTTCTGGCCTATTGTACCAGCCCCAGATGATAGGTGAGGGAGCTTGTGGAGCAATTGGTGGAATGAAGATTGGCAGGGGAAACCGAAGTACTCGGAGAAAATCTACCAGAGCGCCACTTTATCCACCACAAATCCCACTTGACCAGACCCAGGATCGAACCCGGGCCGCCGCGGTGGGAAGCCAGCGACTAACCGCTTGAGCTATGGCGAGTCCTCACTTACTTACTTACTTACTTACTTACTTATTAATGGAGCTGAGCCCTTCTTGAAGAGCCGCCAATTCTGCAGCTACTCAAGAACTTCCCAGCATTTTATGGAACCCGAAGGTTCATTGCCGTGTTCACAGGAGCCTTCCGCTGGTCCCTATCCTGAGCCAGATTAATCCAGTCAATCCCATTTTATTTCTCTAAGATCTATTCCAATATTGTTCACCCACCTACACCTTGGCTTTCCCAGTGGTCTCTTTCCTATATTCTATATGCATGCCTCCTCTCCCCCATTCATGTTACATGCCATGCCCATCTCATCCTCCTTGACTTGATCATTCTAATTATACTTGGAGAAGAGTACACGTTATGGAGCTCCTCATTATGCAATTTTCTCCAACCTCCTGTCACTTCATCTCTCTTCGGTGCAAATATTTTCCTCAGCACCCTGTTCTCAAACAGCCTCAGTCTGTTCCTCCCTTAATGACATAGACCAAGATTGTTTATTCACTAGCCTAACTTAACTGATTGGCGGTCATGCATTTTCTTGGGTTTTTCAATATAGACCCTATATTATATTTTGTAACTCATTTTATCTGTGCTTATGAAAGCAGATACAGTATACAGAGAGGCTGAATCGGCTACACGCAATACGCCAGTGATGCTGATGTAGTCAGGAAGTCGTTCTTACAGTATGCTGGACATAAAACTAATTTGTTGATGAAATGATACGTATCGGGTATCTTGTAGTGATGTAGGTCATTATTTTCTGTTACCCAAATTAGCATACTGGTACTTGTGTTAGCACTTTCTTTTCGATACATAGAAGAAAGAATCTAAGAGTTCTAACGATGGTGTATAACACTCAGAATTGCTGGGATTTTGGACTTTTCCCATCGTCCATTGTTCTAGAAAATTGAAAACACGGCGTTACGGGAACTGGATCTGTTTTTGTCCTCAGGGGCGTGGGGGGAAGACACCTATTCAGTTGGGTCCGCTAGAAAGAGCTAACCTCAGTCACTGGACAGTTTCGGAAACGTCGTGTTATCTATTTTCTAGAACACCGGACGATGAGAAGAGTCCAAGAACCCAGCAATAGAGGAAAGAGTTTAAAATTAAAAGTTCGATTATGTTTTTTATAAAAGAGTGACAATGTAGTGTATCAGTACTTCACGAGGACGACAAGAAATTTACTTCTCAAGCAAATCGAATCATTATTCCTTTTTTTATGAGCAATAAAATGTAATGATATTATATCAGCTTGTTGCAATGGTTAATGAATCGATTTGCGTGGGCAGTAAACTTCTTGTAGTCCTCGTGAAACCTCGTATTAGTTCCCAAGCAACGGTCTCGTTTCTAAATATTTACACCTTTCAGTATCCGTATACATGGAAACCGTGTTCGGTCATTAGTTGGTTTCCCGGAATCACTCCCTCTGCTGCAACTTGTTTGCGTTTTCGTTTCCTAGAAACGGCCCATATGTCATAATATTTAATGGTAAAATGAAGTTTTTGCAGACCAAATGCAATTGTGTGAGCTCTCAAGGTTCATGGCAACCTGCGTGCGCATGCGTCACTGTTCTCATATAATTCAATGTTGTAAAGCTATCCCTGTAGGAGGCCGTGGAGGTCCATAGGTTAGTGAGACGTCGAGGCTCTTTACCCCTAGGTAGATTCCTAGTACTCACTTCTGTTAGAGGCTGTATCGACACCAGGGCTATAGTGCGGTTGCAAGTATGAGGTCAATTGAAAAATCCACCTTCCGGCCTGAAGCATAGTGTCTCAACCAGCTACGCTACAGCGTGCCCCTCCACTTATGTAAGACATCAAATAAAAATATAAGGAGACACTTTTACACGTGATACCAATGTTCAAGAAACCGTTGCCCGTTCTACGACATTTTGATGTGTAAAGTTGTTTTTGTGATTTCAGTTTGTTCAGAAACGTACCGACTATCCTCTTCCCAGTTTTGTGGTTCGAGGAACTTGGTTCGATACCGCCTTCTGAAGCATTTCTTCTTAGACTACTGCTGCTGTTGCCTGTGGTTGGACAATACATTTCCTTTGGTCTCACCCTCATAGGTCTAGTCATAATATCGGCCGCCATTTTGCCTATGTTCCTCAACAAATACTCTGGAAGCCTACATCACTGCCTTAAAAGGTAATATTTGATAAACTTAACTCTCATACTCTGTAACAAGCTGAGTGACGGGTCGGAAATATGTCTTTCGAAAGACCAAGGATGTTATCTCCTGCTGCCTGGTCAGGGCAATTGCACAAATAATGGAGGAGGTTAAAATATTGTTACGTGTAGGGTGGTACGCGTGACGAAATGACGGGTTCTATTTCGAATGATTGGATTTATTAACAGCTTGGTTAGACACTATCTCTTAATTACACTTAAATTACACACAGTATAGCATTATTGCTTGATTACACACTTACCAGTTCACCGTTGCACACGTACTAGGATTCTCTGTCTTCCACTAGTCGTGTCCTAGCAACGGATCTCCACACAGAAACTGTCACTTCAAATCACAGGAACTAACACTTCAGATCACTCCAAGTCTTCCAGTCAAACGCCAAACCTTCACAAGACGAACTTCCCGTAACTGTCACTTAAACACTCTCAAATACTCCCAGATACAGAAATCTGTTCTGTCTGTAACTGTCGTTCTATAGCTTCCGCACTGGCCACGCACAGAACATCCTATATTGTAGGAACGTGCTTACCGAGCGATTGCATAGCAACGGTCATGTCGCCGGCCGCATAGAAAACGCCTCATTCCAATTGTTGCTTTGCGTGTATTCGGTCGCGAGGTATTTAACGGTCAGTTATCTAGCAACGCTGTATCCCTCCACGATAAAACAGATTAATTTGGAGTAATAGTAGAATTATGGCCGTGCCATAGCTCAAGCGGTTAGTCGCTGACTTCCCACCGCGGCGGCCCTGGTTCGATCCCGGGAATGGTCAAGTAGGATTTGTGGTGGAAAAAGTGGAGCTGGGGCGGGTTTTCTCAGAGTACTTCGGTTTCCCATGCCAATCTTCATTCCACAAAAGACTCCATCATCATAATCACCCGGGGCAGGTACAATAGGCCAATCAGTGGCCGCCGTGCCGAGTGGACCCAGTTGGACTCCACCCCCCACTAAGCGAATTAAAGAATATTAGAATCATAATTTGCAGGGGAATATCGAAGAATCTAGAAGAAAATATTTTATATATTTTTCTTTTAAATTATGAGACGTATTTTAGCAATTAAGAACTTCGAAAATGGAGAAGGTATAACTGAACAAGTAAATAAACGTTTGCGGTTGACTGAATCGGACTTGATTTCCAGCACGGAGAGAGAATTCTCTGCTCACAACGACCCCACACTGTTTTTGGGCGACTGGGGCGTGAACAAAACAGATACAGAGACTATGGATTTCGTTGAGACATTTTCTTCTCCAAAATCCCCCAAAATTATTTTACCTCCACATTTTGTTTGCCCCCGGGGCCCCCCAAAACTGTAAATCCGGCCCTGGACCTGGGAAAAAGCTGTACAGCGGGAATGCAACGGCTGAGGCATAAAACTGACCTCCAAAAACAGGAAATGTGTGGAGTATACCTCCGCTTCCCCTCACATCTGCAAGAGCTTGGTGCCTACAAAAATAAGTCATTCTAACGTAAAAAATTTATACACTGAACTGAGTCACATTTGCTCACACAAACAAACTCCGTGACTTGAGTCAGCAAGCGAATTATACCGACCGAGCGACCGCTGCTTGTCGGAGACGTTAGTGCCAACTTTAGCAGATAGAGGGTGTCGGGNTTAGAGCCATTGATGAATATATTTGAAGTTATCTGTTAGCCAATTCTGAAGGTACGAAATTCAAATTAATAAACATTGCATTATAAATACCTTATTTCTCTACGACAGGGAAAATTAAAAGCATTTCTTCTTTGTAAATTACGCGAAAATATTATCAGAAATATGAGTGGCTATAGACGGGATTTATATAGGTAATTGGATTTATCTGTCACTTAACAGATCGTAACTACAAATAATCATAGCTCTATCTCTATTTCACACACCCTACAATTCACTACAGCATGTGCTAAGTATTTTCAGTCTTCTGTGTCTTCGCCAGTCGTTGTCTGGTAACGGCTCCCAAAGGCGTACGTTACCCTTTCTCTGGATTTCCGAAATATCCCCTTGCCTCAGCTACCAACCTCTAACAGCAACGGCTTAAACGATTGAACCTCAGGGGTTACTTCACCGACTCACCAAACAACTCGCTCCACTTCACTCAACTCCACTGTACTCACTAACTGAACTCGGTCTATCGCATGATATAACCTCGGAGAGGACCATATAGAAAACAGCGCTTCCAGCAGTACTTAAATTGTTGCGCGCGGGCCGCTGCCTAACAACGGCCGTTGTCTCGTTGTTTCTTTCGCGGTCGTTGCCTAACTACAGGTCTATATGCCACAATATATTAGATTGTGAAGCCAAAGTCCCACATATATTTGCGCCTGGTGCTGTAAGCCTATCTGAGACAAAAGAACCAACGTGAAGAAAAAGAAAGATATGAAATTCTACAGCCTATATCTACAGTAGATTAAGGTTCCTTCTTGAAATTTCATATTCTGTTTCCCTACATTCAGTCCTGCCCATGTGTCAATGTATTGAAGTTTCTTTTTATTGCTAGTGGGGTGGGACTAAGTCCCTTGTACTGCGGCCACTTCTGGCCTATCGTACCAGCCCCAGATGATAGGTGAGGGTGATTGTGGAGCAATTGGTGGAATGAAGATTGGCAGGGGAAACCGAAGTACTCGGAGGAAACTTGTCCCAGTGCCACTTTGTCCACCACAAATCCCACTCGACCAGACCCGGGATCGAACCCAGGTCGCCGCGGTGGGAAGCCAGCGACTAACCGCTTGAGCTACTCATGTCTCTAGGAGACCTCTGAGCAGAATTAGGCAAAGTTTCCCGCCCAAGTAATTTCCAATTCCTCCTGTAGATGGGGAAGTAGCAGGGACCACTGCCAGAGAGGTGGCCGACCTCGCTGGCACGATGGGGCTGATAGCGAGCACCAGTACTGGAAGGGCATGGCGACTGGTAGAATATCAAAAGGGGACGTACAATAGACTATTAGTCGCGGTGCATGGGGAAACCCACCCCCTCCACAAATAATAATAATAATAACAATAATAATAACCGGTTGAGCTACGGCGTGGCTCATGTATTGATGTTACTCAGCTTTTCGAACAGTTGAATTGGGCTAATTTCCTAGTCAAATTCCTATTTCTACTTCAGTCACACAATTTTGCTGAAGTCACAATTAACCTCTGGTTTTTCTTTTCCAGAAAATCATCCGAAACAATCATTTCTCAAACCTCGTTGCCTATTGGGCGCTTTAGGCCTCCACCATCAGAAGGAAAAGACGGCGCCATACCTCCAGAAGAACATGGCCTGCTTGACACCAAGATAGACAATTGACTGTGTTTCATTTCTGGTTTGTTTAAATAAGAACTTAAAATGCTTAGATGTATTGCGTCCGGTGATTCGTGTGCAATGGATAGGAATGTAGGTGAGTGAGGCCGTGGCATGGAGGACATCCCGTCCAAACCAGAAGATGTTGCAAGGAATAAAATGAGATAAACGGTTTTCTTATAATCTGAGCTATTCACAGATCTCCCACTTAAACATCTGTGAACGCAATCTAGACTGATCCAGTAACTTTCTTATTAATGACATAGATTACCGTTATATTGAGGTGGTCTAATTACACAATTCTCCTTCAGGGTCAAATGCTAATTTACCTACAACTTGTTTCTGTTTTATGTAACTCTAATTTTAGGCAGGTCATGTCTTAAACCATTGAGCAATTACTATAAAACAGTACTAATAGATTATTAGGAATTTCTTTATATTGATTGTTAACAGATGAAGGAAGGTGTACGTGTGAAATTAAATCTAGGATTTCCATGGCAAAAGCTGCATTTAACAAGAAGAAAAATCTTTTTCCAACAAATTGGACTTAAATTTGAGAAAGAAACTAGTGAAATGCTACGTTTGGAGCATCGTTTTGTATGGGGCTGAAACTTGGACATTTAGGGCAGTAGATCAGAAACACCTGGAAAGCTTCGAAATGTGGTGTTGGAAAAGGATGGAGAAGATCAGTTGGACCGATTATGTGAGAAATGAAGAAGTGTTATTTCGAGTCAGTGAGCAGAGGAATATCCTACACGAAATAAGAAAACGGAAGGCTAATTGGATTGGTCATATCTTACGCAGAAACTGCCTTCTAAAAGAAGTTATTGAAGGAAAGATAGAGGGGCGGATAGAAGTGACCAGAAGACGAGGAAGAAGACGTAAGAAGATGCTGGATGACCTTGGGGACAGAAGAGGATATTTTCATTTGAAGGAGAAAGCTCTAGATCGCATGAAGTGGAGGAATTGTTGTGGAAGAGACTGTGGACCTGTCGCCTTGACAGATTACAAATGAATGAATGAATGAATGAATGAATATATATCCCCCCCCCCTGGCACTACAGCCCCAGTGGGCCTAGGCCTACCTCCATGAACCTCTCCGTTCACTTCGGTTTTTCTAGATCTTACACATTCGGTATGACTTCTTGGGCGGGTGATCAGCTCGTCGCAAAGCCTCTACCTGTACACAAACACAGAAAAACGCACACACACACACACACAAACTAAGCATCCATGCCCTGAATGGGATTTGAACCCACGATCCTGGTTTCCAAGCGAGCGAAGACTGTACATGCCTTAGACCGCTCGGCTACCGTGACCGGCATATAGATACTATATATAAAACAAAAAGTAAAAATAAAGTAAAGGTATCCCTGTAACAGGCCGTGGAGATCCATAGGCTTGTGAGATGTTGAGGTTCCCACATCTTCTAGACAATCGGCTCATAGAAGACGGCAAGTTGTCAGCCTTATGCTCCGGCCGTCCTTTACCCCCAAGAATGTTCCAAGAATATTCCTGGTAGTCATTTCTGTTAGAGGCTGAGTTGACTCCAGGGCTATAGTGCGGCTGGAAGGATTAGGTCAAGTGAAAAAAATCTAATGACCTCATCGGGACTTGAACCCGCGACCTTCCGGCTTGTAGAATAGTGCCTCAACCAACTACGCTACCACGTGCCACATATATAGAGTAAACCCTCACTAATTCTGACTACCAATGGAAAGGATATTCTGAAATAGTGAAATTCAGAATTACATAAACATAATTCATTCATTCATTCATCAGTAATCTGTCAGACGACAGGTCCACAGTCTCTTCCAAAACAGTTCCTCCACTTAATGCGATCTTCTGTTTTTGGAAAGAGACTATCCAGGAAAAGTGATAATGTGGTAGTTTTTCCATTTGCTTTCCACATCGCAGTACAACAGCCGTTCAAACCACTCTGGTCACGCCTGTTGCTATACGAACTTGAACCATCTCGAGCATCATTTGCTCTGTGCTTCAAGTCGCTGCTGATGACGCTGCTTCCGGCATCAGTTTTTGGTGTCTCTCTTCGTCTGATGCCTACCCTTTGACCTGTCCAGCAAGGGAGGCCCTGCCAGTAGCTACGATACCGCTGGTATAGCTCTCAGGGTCCTTGGCATACTCAAACCCCCTCACCACGATAAGGTGGAGACACCAACGAGGTGAAACATAATTATATGTAAATATTTTCAAGTCGTAGTTGGTTGAGATAAACAGCTAGTCGTAAAGTAACTCTGAGTGACTGAAAGTACTCGTAGGTGATTAGTTCTTTCCAGAACGTCTTCTTTTATATATGTACAAGCAATGAAATAGTACGAGAGTATCTTATCATCATCATAGTAAAAACAGCCCTTTTTGGTCCATAACCTTCCTCAGAATGTTCTGCCAGACTTGTCTTGAATTAGCCCATCCGGTTTTTACTTCTGTGAATTTCGCAACATTTTTTTGTTGTTGTTTTTGTTTAACAGAGAAAAGTCGTCAGCCTTGCGCCAACCCCCCAACTCGGAGGACGAGGTCACTTTATTTAAATTCATCAGTGACAGAGTGGCCCCAGGCACAGGGTTCTCTTTTCCTCTCCTTCTCCGACTGGCAGGGCTACAGTGAAATTATTCTAACCTGCCTCCATACGGGGAAATCTCTTATAATACCGTTCTTAGTAAATGATTCCTCTAAAGAGGTTACTTTCCTGAGACGTGAAGTCGTCTAGCTTGATACACGGGTATTAGCATTTCTTGAGATTTTTGTTCCAGCTTTATGTACCCTGAAGACGGAGACAGCAAATTTCACCGTAACATTTGTACCATCTACATAATTAAAAGACGTCACATACCGTAAGGCTATAAGTATCACAGAAAACATCATAGGACCTCAAATCTCACCGTTCCTACATGTTTTATTACCAAACCCTTCTTTACTAACAAACGCCTTAACGATATCACATAATGTGGTTCTTTAGGCTTTCATCTCGATCTGGCAACAATTCCAGTTTCCGAAACGTTTTATTCTTTCAGGATATCAAATGATGACAAGGGCCAGAAACTGAGTAATTCCGAGTGTAATACAACATCGATAGAAACATCTTAGAATTGAGATGTGATTACAATTATAAATTATATTTTTAATTTTTAGGTTTTGACATCGGAAATAATATGTAGGCCAAAAATAGATACCAATTCGAAATGCAAATAATATCCCTAAATAGGAGAATGAGACGTTTGAATTTAGCTGTGGTCGTATCAATTACAAACTCAAATTTACAGACACAATATATTTTTCATGTCATGTTTATTTTATTTTATTTTATTAATGACTCGGTCGACTTTTCATGAAAATACTGCGAAAGATTCAGGTTATGATACGTAGAAACATGGACACTGTGTACTAATAAAGTGTTCTCGTTTCTTATAAGTATTTTACACATAAAACAACTTTTCCGAGGGTCATTGCTGT